CTGCAAACTTACTGAGGCTGCACTCTATCCCTTCATCCAAATGGGACTGGGCCCAGTACTGAGCCCTGGGGGACACCACTCGTGACCAGCCGCCAACTGGATTTAGCTCAATTGACCACAACTTTGGACTCAGCCATCTAAGCAGATTTTTACCCGGCAAAGCATATGCCCATACAAGGTGAGAGCAGTCAGTTTCTCTAGGAGAATGCTGTGAGCAACAGTGCCAAATGCCTTACTAAAGTCAAGGCAGACAACATCCACAGCCTTTCCTTCATCCAACAAGTGGGTCACCCTGTCATAGAAGGAGATCAGGTTTGCTAAACAGGACCTGCCCTTCATAAACCCATGCTGATGGGTATGATCAGCTGGTTGTCCTGCATGTGCTGCATAATGGAACTGAGGATAATCTGCTCCATCAGCTTCCCTGGCACTGAAGTCAAACCGACAGGCCTGTAATTTCCTGGATCATCCTTCTATCCCTTCTTATAGACAGATGTTACGTTGGCTGACTTCCCAATCAGCTGGGACATCCCTGGTCAGCTAGAACTGCGAATAAATGATGGACAGTGGCCTGGTGAGCACCCTTGCCAGCTCTCTCAGCGCTCCAGGATGAATCCCATCCAGCCCCATGGATTTGTGCACATTGGCCCCTGTCTCTTGGCCTGGGGGACTGGCTTTCCTCAGGAAAAGTGTTTCTGTTACCAAAGACTGAGGCAAAGAAGGCATTAAGCGCCTTGGCCTTATCCTTGTCTTTGGTTTCCATATTTAAATAATTCTAGTTTGGTTACCATACTGAAATAAATATGTTGTAGGACCAGAAAATCTTCTGTGCTGCTTTTAATTTTTGCTACCCTCTGAACTGGAAATTGGCAATAGCTTTTTGCCTGTTGGGAATAGCTTTGAAAACTGCACAAAAGAAAAGAATATTTACAAGTGTTATCAGGAAAGAAATGAGACAGAATTGCCTATCAATATAGTCTCACATAAACAAATTAACTGGTCTAACTTCAGAAATACAAGAAATGCAAATCATTCCAGTATATTTTTCGTGGTTTTAATTAGTTATGACTTCTCAGAAAATTTATAGAAGTTGAACTGCTGATATAAGCAGAGCTGAAAATTAAAACATGCCTTAAGCTATAAACAGGTTTTTACTCTGTTTTTTCACTTCCTTTTCTCTCGTGTCTGCCTGTAATGCATAAAGTGTCAAAGGAATTCTCAAATTGTGAATAATGAATGAGTATCCTCCAAAGCGCTCCAGCAGTCACCTTCCATGGTGTTATCATCGTACCTTAGCTTCCTTGTTTTTCCTATGCTCTCCTTCCTTTAATTAGATCTGAAGCTTAATGTAACAAGACAGATATGATGGCAAGAGGAATGGGGTGAAAGCCTTGTATAGAGTGTGCAGTCTGGCTTAATAAACTGCCGCATCTTCAGTGTGAAGAGCTGCTGTGTTATAGCCGTGCAGAATTTCCCATCTGTAACCTGGAATCCACCTGAGACACGAGTCATCTCAATGTTCTTCAAAAGTTCTAATGGCCACGTTTGCAAATCGCAGCCCCAGTATGAGAAAGTTTAGATTATGAAATGAGGCAACGTGCACCCCAAGGAGTCTGATCTTTCTTGCCCTGTGTTGGAGTTGTTGATTTCCCTTAGCATTCAGACCTTTCACCTCCAGTGAGTCCTGGTTCTTGTCATACTTCTCAGGGGTGAAGTTGACAGTTTAAATCCACCAAGATAAAAGAGTCTTTCATTCCAGGCCTAGAAGATTCAGATCTGTAGCTCTCATTGCCCTAGTGCTGTTGTTGCTATCCTGTGCACTTGTCTTCCCTGTCTATCTGCTGTATCTGTTTTCAGGTATCAGAGGAATTTCTCAGTCTATGACCCCTCCCTCTCCCTTTCAATCTAGCTTTGTATATAGAACTTTTAGTTTGGCTTGGTTTTTCCCCCTTTAGTAAACACTTTCCTAGGTCATCAGCATCTGCCTTCATACTTGGTCACCTGTAGTCTTACAGTTTGTGGGATTTTTTTGCTTCATACTAAGATCCTGAGAAGTTTAAGATTATTTAAGGTTAATTATCATCGTCTTTTTATTTCTTTATTATTTTGGGGGGGGATGTCTCTCTAGCTCTTCTCTCAGTGGATCCTCGGATAGTTTTTGTAAAGAAATGTAAACAATTAAAACATGGACACTTAGAACATCAAAATATCTGTCAGGATGCAGTTGACATGCCCCTACAAAGGATTGTGCTCAAGAACATTACTCTGACTAGAACATTAGAGACATGATTTCTGCATTATGGCAGCTTTAGTCATTTTCTCCTATTCTTCATTCTCAGTGACCTTTGGAAAAGCAGTTCTTCAACACAGTTTCCTTCTCTGTAAAAATGTTAATCTCATTAGTAAAATATTCTAAAAGTTTTAATGAGAAAGAAGAGTACGTGAGAGCTCAGTTAGCTTCCAGTATTTTATTTATATGTACATATAGGTATGCAACGATACGTGACTCTGTAACAGTGAGAATTAACATCTCTGCTGATACTGGGAACAGAAAATTTCCATGCCAGTGCCCAGAAGATTATGATCATGCTTCTTGTGATTTGTGAAATTGCATTGAAGGAAAAGCCTTACACTGTTTCTTTGAGACTGCTTATAATTGTGTATGTTGTTACAGTATCTGCTGGATATACGTCATATAACATGTCTTTCTACAGACATCTACCTATTGCTCAAGAGAATACAAACAGCGTAAATATACCATGGCAAATTTTCAAAATAAAAAAATGGAGTTTGGCTGCTTCTTTGCCTAGAATTGTATCTTATACCAGTGAGTAATTCTATGATGCTAGTGATACAAGAAAAACAATTTAATATTGAAAGAGCAAATACAACATTAAAAGAAAAAATGTCTTTTTTTTAAAATTTGTTTTTATTTTGTGCAGTATAAAAATATCAAGTCCTTGTTTGGCATCAGAGAAACATGGTTTAATTATAGCTATTTTCAGATTTTTTTCACTCTTAACATTCAAATTGTCTGGTTTGTCCATTTTGTCTTTTGATCTGTGCTTCAATATCCTTTAATTACTGCTATATTCCTGCTCAAGAATCCTCTGTTTTTCTTCATTATATTCAGTATCTGGTGCTTTTCTTTTCAGTGCACTTTTTCATCGCTGTTTCTGCAGCTATATGGTAATACTGGGTCATTCACCCTTTTTAAGATTTATGCCAGAGGGTGGAAGGAGGAGGTTACGCTTTCCAGCTCAGATCTGAATACTGGGCCACCTTTGGTTATAGGCCCAGGAAGATGCACTTGGACAAAAATTTGTAGGTTTTTCTTGCTTACATGGACAAGGTAGCTGAACCAAAGAGTTTGGGGCTTGTAGACACCGTAACACAGATAGAGTGTTAAGCAGAAATGGAAGACTGTTCTTGTTATTGGTAATAACACTTGCAGTCACCTTTTGGATTTAGCAGTACAAGATCTGAGAGTTTTTTCATTTGGGATGAGAGATAGTTGTTAATATTCATGCTTAGCTCATGGATATAGTGTCACTTACTAGCTATAGGGACTTGCGCTCTAAGCTGAGTCCTTGAACATATCCTTAGGTTTTTAAAGTATTATTTCTGGCTAACTTCATTTTGAGACTGTCATCTTCTCATTTGCTGTAACTTGAAATATAATTCTCCTTAGAACTGTCACTTCTTTGAAATTGCTTCCTCTTTCTGTTGGTAAGTACATGTGGTAAAAAGTGTGTATGGGGGTGTTGCACTCCTCCAGTGACTTCATTGGGATTTCTAGGTGACTACTCAGATGTTAGTTTATTGTGGCAGTATTGGTGCTGAGGGAAAAAACAAAAAGAACCCACAAAGTAAAGCAGGACTTTGCTCTTGCAGTGAAGCTTAATAACGCAGGCTGTGTACATTACTTGGTACTTGGTCTTGTTCCTCCTCTGAACACTGAGTAGTACATCATTATGTGTGGGGGTTTTTTTCTCTTCTGAATTTATGAAATAATGTGAAAGTTGTATTGCAGCCCAGCAGCAGCGTTACTATGTCACGAAAGGAAGTTACATCCTGCAGAGTGTGTAGCACGAGGCTGTTGAGGGATGCTTAAGGATCTGCAAGCTCTTGGGATAATGTTGAAGCACTGAGTAAAGTGAGAGGAGAAACATCTGGTGCCCTCCTGTCCATACTGCCGGCTGGGAAGGGTCCCTGGTGCGTGTGATTAACTCTGACTGTGGCTGGGTGTTGTGTAAGGCAGTCCTAGTTGGCCCAGACCAACAAAATAGCAGGGAAAATGCTAAAACGGAGCCATGTGAACATTCGGTGTTCCAGAGATCATACTCACTTCTCATCCTTGTTTTGTTTAACAACCTGCAATTGCGGGATAAAAACAAATAGTCAGAGATGAGCTCTGCTAACAGTCTTTAACAAGTTTCAAGGAAGGAAAACGATTCCAAACTGGTTTCTAAACAACTAGAAAGTCAGTGGCATGTTTCATGCATATGGAGGAAGTGATGATGAAGCTTTTTTTCTGAATGGAAAAAGGCAGAAACAGCAGTCATCACCTTACATATATACTGCAAAGATTAGCTTCTTTTTATGCAAAATACATATTTGAAATTCGCTACTAATCCCAGATCTTTGAGTTTATTTCTTCTCCTGGGCTGTATCTAGAGCTCAATCTGCAACTGCTTTGGCAGCTAACAGGCACACCAGCTGAAGGTCATTTTCTGTTCTGTGGTGGTTTCCCTCTTTGAACCACTGAAGATTTTCTCTGCATCCTCCAGCAGTATTAGGGAAGTTTGGACTGGCAGTCTAGCATACAGAAATAGAGAGAGTGGCAAATGGGCAAGACACTATTAAAAAACAACAAGCAAAAGTGCTTTATGCAACATTATGTAGCAGAAAGATAAAACAGCTGCTTAAATTACCCCTTGATACTACCAGTATATGTGTCAAAAAATTGAAAGATATGCAGCTCTCTAGCTCTCTGTAACTTGTGATCCGTAAGATTATTTGCTTTGTTTAGGAGTTCTGAAAACACATCACTGAGGTTGCTTATACAGTGCATTTAATTAAAAAATAAAAGACCATGCATGTATTAAAGAACAAGCGGTTCCAAATTTGTAATATAAGACTTAGGATTTTTCTGTATATCTTAGAATTAGACTGGCAGAGTCTAGGAAGTCCTGCATGGGTGAACATAGTCTGTAGTTACGGCCTTTTGGCCAGTGCTCTGTCTGCTTCAGGGGAGGGTTTTCCTTATACAATAAATACAATCTGAATTTCCGTGATATTCAGCTTGATTTTTTCAGTCGACTCAATTAGAATAGAGAACACTTTGCTCCCTAGTCTAGTTGCAGAATAACATGGAAATAAGATGTTTCTTAATAATAAGATAATGAAAAAATCAGCATTAATGAAAATAACAGGGTATATTTTTAGAACGTTTCATGAACCCAGATTAAGCAATATGGAAAAGAGCTAAAGAATAACAGCCTTTTTATAAAAGTGAAAGAAATATTTCTGCATATTATATGCTGTAGATATAGGAATCATTTCCACAACACCGTATCAAAAGAAAATATGAATTTACTGTGTAGATTTTTATCACCTCTTCTGCAGATTATTAAAACTGCTTTTTTATTTTGGGGTTGTGTGTGTAGTAACTTTAAGGAAAACAGCATGTTCTATCATACATGTTTTATATCCTCTGTGGAAATATCATTTCCACAACATGATGATCGTAGTCTGTGTCAGATTTTTTCAGACAGAAGAATTACCCGTTCATCTCATTCTGCTTTCAGTAAGGTTCTATAAATGGAATGAATATAAATGGCTTTATAACTGGCTAGTGTCACACTTCTAAAGAGGAAGGTGGCATGAATCTTGGGATTCGGTCATCAAAAGTGTGCCTTTACATGAACAAGTTAAAGAGGGCGTAAGAGCCTAGTGCAAATAAATAAACACATAAAAATAGTATTTTGCACCTGCTGCAAGCAAGAAGAGCAAAACTTAATGAATTTGCAACAAATTCATGATGCTGAATATTTCCAGGAAAATAAATAGGAGAGATGTAGAACAAAAGCTACTCAACTTCAGTGCGTTGGAATCCTGTGCTCAGTTCTTGGCTCAGCAGAAGGGTACAGCTTCCCACCTCATGGGTATTTCTTGGGTGAAACCTGTTACCAGGTGTGTTACATGATACTGTTGTGCTGATGTGGGGCTATACTACCAGTTGGTCTCAGTACCACTGCCGGGCAATTTGCAAAAGCAAAGTGTTGGGAGAAGTGAGTTAAAATGAATGCTTTAAAACTTGGCACAGAGCTGGATAGGAAATACGGCATGAAGAGTAGTCACCTCTTAAAACAGTTTGTATTCAGTTTACAAAAAGACTTAACTTGTCCATTAAAATACCTATGTGGAAAGTAATCAGCCAAGGGTAAAATATGCCACACTAGCTGTACTGTTGCACTAAATCTTGCCAGAGATTGTGATAAACCCATTTAGTGCTGTAGATACAGTGGTGAGGAAAAATAAAAAGTTTTCCAGTTTGTTTGTAGTAGAAAGAGAAACCTATAATTTTTTGCGTTTCCACCAACCGTGTATTGTTTATTAAAAAACTCCAGACCCACAAGCCCACAGTTTGGAAGCTGTGTGACTGTTAATTGTGGACAAGCAGTACGAGAGGAGAGCTCTTTTCTTCCAGTCTCCCGTTTCTCTTCCCATTTGTCAATCCCCCTCTCTGCCTCTCTGCAACTGCATATGTCTCTGATTTCCCACTGTCTTCAATTTTGCTTGTTTTATCTGTGGGATCTTACTCAGGGGCCAGTGCTTTTAAAGAGACAAGTTCATGACAAGTTAAAATTAAATTTTACAGGTATGAAAATAAGATATAATTTCATATTATTGTAGCGTTTCTTCCCCTGCACTCTCTTTATGCCTCTTAATTTCTTGGACTTAAAGGGCTATGGGTGGCAGCTTACTACCCTAATTAGTGCCTATAAATGCTCCTGCAGTGTGTGTGTAATAAGCATTAATATTATCATGGACTATAATACATGGCAGAGGGACCTGTAGGTTCTATAATGGTGACAAAATCTTGCGTCCTCGTCTCCTCTTTGCTTACTTACTTTAACCTCTGCCAATTTAAAACACATAATATCTGCTCTTTTCCATCCCTCTTCCATTTCCTTTCTTCTTCTTCCTGACTTCTCCACAGCTGAAGTCTTTGGCCACTATCCTTTCAGATGTTTTCTGAAAGATCACTCAGTATATAAAACCAGTTACAAACAGTAAATCAAGAAAGTCTTATTAAAGACCTTTTAACAGTCTTCTGAAAATCGGGAAGATTTTATGTTGTGAATGAATTCTACAACAGATAATCTCAGAATTCCAGATATTCACATTTAGAAGCGTTCGTATACTGCCAACAGCACGGTGTGGGATTATAACTCTTGCAAACTGGGCTCAAAACGTTTCTCAAACTTCTTTCACAGTCTAAGAAAAGCACAGGAGTTTAAATAGTCTTATTTATGTAATACTAATAACTTTGCCTCCGTTTTTTCCTCCATTGGCCACAAATACTTCTTGACAGATTTTAGTGCTAGATTGTGCATTTTCACGGATTAGGGCTGTCTAGCTTTAAAATGCCCCATGCTTCTACTTAATGGGAAACAAACAATCAATAGCATTTTTCATTTCTTGCTTCATAAAAATGCTACTCTGTTTTTGATATTGTAGATAATACAGCCAGTATCCTCACAAGACGGAGGAAATACAGCCGAACGACTCAAGATACCTATTACCTCCCAGTTTTGATTTCTGATGGTGGAGTGCCCCCTCTCAGCAGCAGCAGTACGCTCACAATTAGGGTGTGTGCTTGTGAGAGAGATGGACGAGTGAGAACTTGCCACGCTGAAGCGTTCCTCTCCTCCGCTGGCTTGAGCACAGGGGCGTTAATCGCAATCCTGCTCTGTGTTGTCATTCTTCTTGGTAAGCCACTTTCAGCTTTAAGTAGTGCTCTCCTTCCACTGGATCTCTGGATATGACAGAGCAGAAATTTTTAGTGTGAAACGTTTTAGAACCAGAGGCTGCCTGGTAGTAGGAGGTAATTAGAAACACATAGCTGTGATTAGGGGGAAAGGTTCAACTGAAATTAATAGGGGAAAATACCTTTAAAGTACATTCCCAAGTATCTGGAATCGACTAGAAATTATTTTTTGGAGGTTATCAAGTAATTAGCACTGCAGATCTTTTTTCTGTAATTTGGAAGGATTTCAAAAGCCACTGACTCTAATTCTATGTCTAGAACAGTGTGAAAAATGATAGAAAAGAGCTGAGGAAAGCTTTTTGAAATACATTACACTGTGAGAAGCACCATTAGCAGTGTACAAAAGCCGTTTCTTAATTACCATTGTGGAATAAGTTGATAGCAATGTGCAACATAATCCACCAGGGCAAGGGACATATGAGACTATAAGATGAGTCCATTAGATAAATGGAATTGCAAGAGCATTCTCTCTTGACACTTTTTTTTTTTTTTTACCCAGGCCAATTTGAACATTTCCCATTAGTTTGGTTTTTTATTATTTTTATTTTCTTTTCCTTGACAAAGGCACAGCTTTCTGGATACATATCTCTGTACTATTCTTGTGCCTTTCTGCATTCTTACAGAGACAGCAAGAAAGAATGGGAATTGCAGTGTGACACACATAGCAGATTTTGAGGACCTTTTTTCCAAAGGCTCTTCATTTTCTAAAGACTACTTTGCTCACTATTTGTTTCAGAACTTCCTTGTCAGAAAGCTGTTTAAAAATGCATAGTAATACATTTAGTCAATAATCTATTTAATCATTCAAGATTGAATATTCATAAGAAAAAAATAAGTTTTTACATTTTATTTCAATATATATGCTAAATATTGATTTTAATTAGTCACCGAAAGCCCGTAACAATGCTTCTGAAAAATACCAGCCCTAGTTACACATTTCTCATGTAACTGAAAGAGTATTACTCCCTTTTATGCCCTTCATGAGATCCCTTATAATCTAACTGACAGATTTAATTCTTGGCTCAAGCCAGCAATCCCTGCAAAGAAAATAAATGTTGAAAGGATGCTCTTTACTGACTCTTTAGAAGACCCTGCTGTATTGGAAGTTTGTAGTTTCAGTACAGCATTATTTATTTTCCCCTTAATTATGTGGTCTCAGCCTGTTGCATTTTGGCATGTTGCTATATCAAAGCACAGCCACATGGATTTCATGGGTGCTTTCCAGGCATACAGTAATCTGTCTACAGGCAACACGTTGCACAACAAAGGCGTTGCTCAGTTAGGAACAGAAGCACACTTTCCTCCGGATTGGACACATTCGGTGACCCTTTGTTACAGCCGTGTGCCTGATGTCATGATCCCGAATACCAGTAGTAGCCTGAAAATATTACTCCTCTGTATTTGTGACTTAATATCTGCTATTTCTTTAGCATATACCTGCTTACTTCAGATGTAAACTTTAAACCTACTCTAATATCTGCAGTTTTCTCTTTAGCAATTGTGGTCCTTTTCATCACCTTAAGACGCAGCAAGAAGGAGCCCTTGATCATTTCAGAAGAAGACGTCCGGGAAAACGTTGTGACATATGACGATGAGGGTGGTGGAGAAGAAGACACGGAAGCATTTGACATCACAGCACTGCGGAATCCGTCAGCTGCCGAGGAGCTAAAATACCGGAGGGATGTTCGACCTGAAGTGAAGCCTCTGCCCAGGCATCATCACTCCTCCAGCCTTGACAGTATAGACGTTCAGGAGTTCATTAAACAAAGACTGGCAGAGGCTGATCTGGACCCCAGCGTGCCCCCGTATGACTCCCTACAGACATATGCCTATGAGGGTCATAGATCAGAAGCGGGATCTATCAGCTCTCTGGATTCAGCCACAACACACTCTGACCAGGATTATAATTACCTTGGAGACTGGGGACCTGAGTTCAAGAAGCTAGCTGAACTCTACGGGGAAATAGAATCAGAAAGAACAACTTAGTTGCAATTTCCAGAACAGAACTTCCTGAACAACTGGAGATACTAGGACAGCAGCGGTAACAAAAAATGAATACAGTACTTGGAACTGAGCAAGTTGTATGCAGTTACTGTAGAACAAGTGCCCTTTTCATAGCTGAAACTGGGTTCTCCAATTGGAAGAAAGTCAAATTTTGAAAAATACAGAAACAAGAAGTTGTTGTCCCTTGTGTATATTTTTTAATTGCTCAATAAAGTCCATGGTACCGTATCTGTAACAATACTAAAGAAAAGCCAACCAATGACACTTTTACTGCAATATGCTTAACATCTCCAAGCTACAGTAAGTTTATGGTCATGCCTGTTTAGGAAGATAGCTAATGGAGGAGCAGATCTCTTGCAGGTGGTTGTGATGTTGCATTTCTGGCTGTGCTCTAGGCCTTGTGATCCCAACATGAGGTAGCCAGCGAGATTTACTGTCGGCGTGAGAAGTGCTAACGGTCTGTTTCCCTTACAGAAGGGATGAGCCACACCTGTGCTCTTAAATTAATGGTCCTTTGATGATTTAATCTCCCTGAATTAGCAGGTTGCATTGAGATGATGTCCTTTCATTACATCCTTCATAATTTCATCCATAACCAGCTGACAGCAGCAGGGCATTATTAGCTGTTGGCTCAGACGTGGCACTAGCCCATAGCCCTGGTCCTGCTCTGTTACTGTGTGCTAGAGGAACTGCTTTTTTCAGTGTTGTGGTTTTCATTTTTGTCTTTTCGCAAGAACATCATTCATTGAAACCGAATGGGTCCAAAGTACTCTTTATGCAGCGAAGCAGATGAAGTGTAGGCTCTTTCAATAAAAACCACAGTGGCACCACTTATAAACTGTGGAGTTGTTTGGTTCACTGTGCTTCGCTTATGTCAAAGGATGAAGCTTTTCAAGTCTTTTGCTGGTTTGAGTCCAGGAGCTACAACAGTCAGTTTAAAACACAGAGCTCTTAATCATGTCTCTCTATGTCCATGTGTGACTAAAAGCAAAATAGAGCTGCTGGTAAGACATTGGGATAGTGTACTGAAACAAAGAGAGTAAGATGATGATGACTTTTTTTCTTTTTAGTTCAATCTACTGATATTTAATTTCTCTCAATTTCCATCTCAGCAGAGCAAGGGTGTTTTTCTCCCTAATTCAAGCATCATGGGAATAGGAACATGTTAAGCCAGTAGAGGAGGAAAAGACAGAGTGTACTATTATGGTGGTTCCTATGGATTAAATCCATTGATTTCTTATACGGGTAACTTTTTAGCATTGCAGAACTGCTAAGCAGTTTTGCTTAACTTTGCAGGGTGATTAACACCTAACCCAGCAGTTTCTTACATTTTCCTTTGTTTTGTTTGCAACTTAAACCTTTTTGTTTTCTTTCTTGTGATGATACTAGGACAGGACCAGGAGTTCCTAATATCCTGTGCAAGATCATGACATAAGATTCACCATCAATTACAGTCTTCTGCTTCTACAACTCTTGTAGCTCCACTTGGGAAAGTGGACTTCTTGCAATGTGCATTTGATAGAGAAACTGTCCAAAGCAGAAGCTGTGAGCTGATGTTTTTTGATTTTCTCCCGTTATGTGGGCTGGTGTGGGAGTGATACAGATCTGTACACTCCACTAGATACCTCTCTCTGCATTTTAGGTTGTGCTTACCTTCAGCTTAGTAGAGAAGAGCTTGTATTGGTGACCCACTGTGAGTCACACAGGTGAACTAGCCTTCCTTTCTTAACTGCATTATCGAGTAGGTCCTAGACATGGCCGAAACTGTTGATCAGTGCTACTTTGAGGTTTTTTTCTTTTTTATGAACTCCATCCTGAGATGTAGTTGACTGCTTTTGGTTTAAATAGCCTTGTGGAAAAATTAGCAAGTAGCTTTGTGAGAAGCTTTTCAAACTTTACAAAGTATTAGTTGCACTGTAGTTCCAGAATTTTGTTACATTGTTGTGTTTGCAGCCTGAAAATTGTAATGTTTCCCTTTCTGTCAACATCCAAACCCACAAGGCAATTTAGAGGGCAAAAGAATCCAAACACTAAAACATGCTACTAGTGATTTGAAGGTATTTTAATAATCTGTGTTTGGGTTTGGAGTTTTTTGTTTATTTTATTTTTACCAAATACGGAATCTTCTAGAAATGCTTTTAAAGAGGCGTTCTTATTGCAGAGTAAGGTTAAATAGATGCTTTAATGCAGTAAGGGGTATAATCAAGCTGAGAACGCTTTATATATTGTCTGCTTCAGGGATAGAATTAGAATATGTTTCAGTTGTGTCCCAAATGAAGCAACTAGTATTGCAGGATTTTATGAAGAGAAATTTTCTTTCAATTAAATTGCACTCGATTTATGCCAACGTCTAAATTTTTATATTGTACAAGTAGAGTGCTAAGAGGAAAGTATTTCTGCATTAGTAGTACCATGGACCATAATCCTTTGTAGTACATCTGCATGAAAACTGCATTCATTGTTGTGTTATAGTTTTGAGAGTTGTCTGTTATGTGTCTGTTTCCTCTGGCCCTACACTGAAGCAGGGAAAATCAGTTGTATTTTGTGCTTTAAGCAGTGTTCCCAACATTGTTTTCTCCTCATTTGCACCATAGAACATTCAGGCTTCAAGGCAACAGAAGTACAGTGACATAAAGCCAATATTCACTCCTTACGCTCACTTTCTGATGACGTTTCTGAGGGAAGAAGGTCATACGTTGGAGAAACAAGCATCCCCTTTCCACCATCCCTGGTGCTCTCCTTGCTGCTGCACAGCACGTGCATCGTAGCCACAGCCCCAGGAATTCTCAGTCCTTTACAGCTCTGCAGGGTTATGGAGACGCTACTTCTGTGATGCTGCGATGTGTCCTGTTCGGTTTGTCCTACCCACAGTGATCGCCAAATGTGCTTTTCTGTCATGATCAACATCTGCATGCTTGCTGTGCTTACTGTTTTTAACTCAAATCACAGTGCTGTGTTACTTGCATGATGAGTAGCAGAATAGTAAATCTTCAGGGCCACAGAAGAAGGCCTCACAGTGCAGAAAGATCAGGTTTACAGATTTCTTTTCCCAATCCTACAAATTTTTCCTTTGGTCCTTTGTGTACTAGAGACAAATTTAAACTATGTTTAAGAATTTATATTTTAACATTGGTTAAACCAGAAGAAAACACAGTATGCCATGGAGGGCCCAGTCATTTTGTAGTGTTGCTGTTTTGAACAAGTGTAAGTATCCTGGGAAACTCTTCCCTAATTTATGGTTAAGTCTGATTGTGTAGACTTTGCTTAAAGCTTTCCTGGATCTTTTGGGTACTCATGCTCTCAAATATTTTCCTATCAGGCTAAATAGTAATCGTTACCCCTTAACAACTAAATGCTGAAAACTGCCAGTTGTACTTAAACTGGAAGATACTGAGTGAAGTTAAATGGCACATACAAAGTGGTGCTTAAGGGCTTTCCAATTTACTAATTTTATTTCTGAAACAACTATTCAACTAATAGTACATTTACACCAAATTAATTAGTCTCATTCCTTCAAACAAACCCTCTTTTTTGTAATGGTGAGGGCACTCATTGTGCTGAAATCTTCACACTTCACCAGAGAAAATGCTCGGTGTAAGTATATGTTAAAATGTGAAAATATATTGTCAACGTAAAAACAGTCAGAAATGTAATTTCATACACTTTAAAGACAAGGAAGAGCTTAAATTCAACTGGAATTAGACTAAGATTCATACACTGAAAACAAATTAATTTGTTTATCAGTGATACAATTTATGAGATACGCATAGAAGACTGTAAGAAGTTGAAAGTAAGTTCATTCTGTTATGCACTTTATTTTTCTAATTCTTAGAAAACCAAAATAATTGTAAACATTTTTGGGTTAGAATTCTAATTGATGCAGTTGTTTAAGTTGTGAATAGTGCAAGAAAATGTCTATGTGAAAATGCTCTCACTGGTATTTAAAAGGAATTACAGAATTTCTGTGATCTAAGGCTTCATAAAATCATCCTTTAGAAAATCTAAGTATTGGACCTGTCTGGAATTAACCAAACTCATAGACTCACACAAAGGGGAACAAAGGGAATATTCTAAATGCAGAGAAAAATATGGAAATATGCTGCTTAGGGTTACTTTGTGGATTATAAAGTGCTAAGACCTTGTACTTGCAGTACATACACAGGGCACAGTGCATTCTAAGGAACATTAGGAACGTGTTGCAAGTATTGGGCCATCCTTATTTTTCCAAAGTCTCCAAAAATATATATATTTTTTTTAACAAAAGAGTAATGTAAAGTATACCTCCTTATGCAAGTGTTACTGATAGAAATTGTTACGTTTTCTTTTAATAAACAAAAGGGACAAAATCTTTTATTCGTATTTTTCAAATAAAGTATGATCTTTGCTATGGTGATGGGTTATTGTATTCCTCACCACAACTAGAATGAGTTATTTTCTCTTCACTCCTCTGTTTTATACTCACCAAAGAAATAAAACTATTTAAAGACACTCTGTCTTTAAGAATCAGATGTGATACAGCAGTATTAATGAGGTCAGTGTCAGAAACACTTTGGTAACTTTAACTAGATATAAATGCCTGGTGCAGTCTTTAGTTGTGGCACTGTTTCAAAGTCTGTCTTACACAATCATTGCTACAGATGGGTAGGGAGAGAGAGACACCGAGAGATACTTTGCAGCAGACTGCAGTATAACTGCTAAATGCTTCATTACTTTTACTTGTGGCAACTATTCTGCTCCAACCATCACTGTCCTGACACTGAAATACAGCATTATAGGACGAATGTATTATCCACATGAGTGAGTTAGGGAATTGCACATCTATGAATACAGATTGGTGGTAGCAGCCGGGGTTGTTGTTCTGAGTTGACACAGAACAGAAGAGAAAAAACAGGCAAGGACATTCACAACGATCAAGCTCAGGCACATGCAGTGAAAGTGCGCAGGAATCACTCATTCTTTCTCAAAGGAGTTAACAGGCTTTA